ATAGATCAAGAATAGCTAAGGATGAATGGGCAACGTTCAGAGTTATAAAAAAAAACAGTGGGAAGGTCTGGAAAGAAAAAAATAGAACTGATGGGATTAGTCGAAGTGGTGCAACTGTGACATGCAATTCGTGCTGCTATCGGATCTGAACTATTGCACAGGTCCCTGAACAGGCGAGGGATTCGGGGTGAGGTGGAAGAAGAATAAAGGTTCTACGGCAGACCGTTGAAAGAAGTGTGTTCAAAGGAGTAGTTCGGCGCAATGACCAGGTGATCCATTGTCAAGTCAATGCGTTCAAAGGTACTGAGCTTCTGCACTACAGGTCCACCTTTCCGGACACTTTTGGATTACGTCAGACGTCGAGGGATTTCGAATGAACGATGCAGTTCAGCACCTCCAGTGGTATCTTAAATGTCTCATCCTCTACCAGGACTATATCATAAATATTCCTGTAGGTATCCAGCAGGTCTCCGATCTACAGTAAGAAGAAATTCAGGTAAAAGGAACGTAGACCAGTGATAGAAAAAAACGAAATAGAATACAATCTGAGGCCTATGCATTCCGATAAACTTGGGTACAAAAGCAATAGATGAACATATTTCACGCCCAGCCTATCTCCCCCAGTGTCAAAGGCCTCAACACGCTGATTTCGCCAAGCGGATAGCAAGAGGATCATGGGTATTAATCATAAGACACTTACAGTATGGGCTAAAAATCGTACCACTTTCATAACTTTGTAAAAGTTTGATCATTACTCGCTTAGCGGCGTGAATGCATTTATGGATATTTTGAAATGATAATGAACAGCATTAGGCATATGAAAAAGTTAAAAGAAATATAAGAAGTACTAAGTGTTTGTTAAGAAAAATAAAATATTCCTTATAATCTCCAAATTTCAGAGACATGAAAATAGCTACAAATTAGAACAACAAATTTAAATATTTTGTTAAGTTGAAACCTTTACGTAACCAATTTCCATATATAAAAAGATCTTTTCTTTAGTCAAATTTTTGTACATTTTACCATTAATGAATGACTATTTATTTAATATCGCTCTTTAGATTTTTGCCTAATTTCCTGCGTTTTCAGTGTCTTCATTTGTTCATCCATCATTTGATCTTCTGTTTGATGTTTACATCAAAAACCTTAAAATAAGATAGACATAAAGAGCATTTACCGAAAAATGAGTTTTCGGATATTAGTTCTTATGAAAGTAGCCATGTCGATCATATTTAGAAATGCCTCAAAACAGCAAACCACACTGTCGAGCGTAAAGAACGTCCGCAAGGTAACTCAGATATTGTTGTTCCTAAGATTAATAAAAGCACTTTCTACAATAGGTTACCTCTTTAAAAAGCTGGCGAATTTCTGTGTATATTACCTTTTCCCAAGGTGATGTCAAAATGAAGTTGGCAAACTTTTATAAATGTTTTAATTTACCCGAAGATAAACGATTCAAGTTGACTGGAGATGAAAGAACTTACTTTTCTCTTTATAATGGATTATTTTCTGCCATAGTGGATTAATTTCAGGGTCTGTTATAAGCTTGCGAATGCAAAAAAGAGTGGCCATATATGACTATTTTTTGAAATAATTAGTATTCTTCTGTCTGTCCCGTTTATAAATAACGCATAAGCGGAACGTATAGTTAACAAAAAGTATATTTCTATATGACTTACACTTGATAAGGCCTGGTTCACATTACCTTCACAGTAACATTTATGGACACTTTGCTTATCCACTATGTAAGCGATGCGGTATAACAAAATTCGACCAAAACTTTTTGTTACTGTATTTTGTGCAAACCATTTCGCAGTTTTGCTAAAAATACTTTTTTAAAACATAAATCGTTCCTTGTTTCTGAAAATAAATTCGATTCCTTCAAATTGGCTTCACTTGCATCTGAACAATTTCGGACAAAATTTTCCAGTTCTAGAGGGGATATGTTTTACCGTTTTTTTAGTTATTTTGGAGTTCCTCCATAACATAATGCAAAATAATAAAAAGTTTGGTTCTGCCATACGTAATAGCATAAGAAATTCCTTCGATATGAGACTACTCCCAACTTGACCAAAATCAATACCCATTTCTCCTAATAAACCTAACTAAAATGCTGATTTTCCCAACTAACTGCTTTCCCGGGAATAAATTCACTCAATGAACCAAAATAATGTTACCAAATATATGCTAAACTACCAAGTCAAATTTCGTCATGAAAGTTGCACGATTCTTAGTCCATACTGTATAAACCCTGTCAACTTCCCATATTTTCATTATGGATGTAAATGTATAGGCCCGATGATTAATCACAGAAAATATGTTTCCCGATCTGCCTTTTCAAATGAATGATTGCAACGCAAGAAGCGAGACAATGCAAAAGGCAAGGTGGTGCAAAAAGTGAAAGTTGGACTTCCAGGGCAAACCGCAGAAGGGTGCTTGGTGGCAAAGATAGCTACGTGATCTATTCATATGACGCCGGTTATCAGAGGTAAAAGGGTCTCGCACGAACAATACTAATGCCTGTACGATTCTGTCGCAGTGCGACGCGACTAAAAGCAAACCAAAGAGACCAGACTGGAGTAAGAAAAAGTGCAGAAACCGGTTTTGTCCATACGCATCTTGAGCTACCAGTAAATAAAGCGCGGAAGGATCAACTCCAACCAATGTCCCCCAGTGACTGACTGGAATCCGAATCCGACAAATAAGTTATCATGAGAAAGTTGGGGACCAGACGAGGTGCACTCCATACCAGCTAAGAGTTCACTTCACGCCTGTAGAAGAAGCAACACTCACTTCACGTATTTGCACTAGTATTTCGTTTAAGCACTGGATGCCACCAACACAGAAAGTATAAGTCGGCCCTATGCAACTAACTTAAATTGGGCAATTAGCCTCTGAGAAAGATAAACGAAAAGTAACAAAATAGTGGATGTGATCCAATAAATATGACGCCACCACAAACATAACAACAACAAATCCAAGGTAAACTTTTGAAAAGTTTGCTTACTTACGTTATCGTTAAGGTAACCGATTTTCAAAATGTTTACATCGGAATCCACACCTTCTCTGGGAATGCCGTCCGCCATGGATGGATCGGCCGGCGAATCGCCCAGCAGAATAATTGAGGAACGTTTGGACAAAACATTATTGACGTAGTCACTGTCAGAAATACTTGAGATTGTTTTGTTGAAGGTGTGGACTACAGGTTCTTCAAATCCAACCAAGAGGCCCTAAAATAATACATCGAAAATGTATTTGACTTTGAAAACATTTTTCTGCAATTCGGTTTTTTTCCTTCAGAGATATAGTATTGTACAGGCGACAACTAAAAATTTATTAATTCACATAAGAAGCAGTCTTTCACAAGATCCCCTACCAACAAAATTGAGGGGTAGGTTGTTGGTACATGGTTAGAATCTTGTTTATCGGTCATAGTCGGGTGGAGACGTGACGAGTTCTTAAATTGATTTTCGGTTGATAAAATGTTCGGCACCTCGTTCTCAATCTGAACAGCTAAACTGTATAGTGAACCTTAAATACTTGCCAGTCACTGTTCACAGCAAACAAGCTAGCTGACAGCGTATTTCCAAGAGATGATGCAGAACCGTTTATCTCGCGGTTTTCATTACAAGTCTGAGGCAACAGCTCATGGCAAAATCATAATAAGTCCACTTAGGTGGACAAGGTTGCTGTTCTTTGGTCACCAAAGAACAAAGGGGGAGACATGTGACAGTTAAATACCCAAATTGCGTCCACAAGCAACGTTAAGCGTAAAAAAGTGGCGAAGAAATTGCTTGCGCTGCCTTAATCGGGTTTTACCTAGGCGGGTCTCACCTGACACGCAAGTTAATCAAATGCCCAGAATGGTCAAAAAATCGGATTCTTCTTGTAAACTTACGGGTCAGGCGTGGCTTAAAGAACTGAATTAACCAACAGGTACGGTTCCTTTAAAGTAGCGATTGACCGCCAAGAACACGTGATCTCTCACAAAAGATAAAAAATTAGGCAGACTTCCAGGGAGCCGGTCTAGTCTGAAGTTTACTAACATTCCGAAAATAAGGATAAAAGGAGAAGTTACAAGGTCGAAGGTGGGCAAATAGAACGGCAAATATAAATTAAGTATATCGAAGAAGTACCTCAGCGTTGAAGTCCATGAAGTTGGAGAATACTCGAACGTTGTCAAAGCGCAGGTGAAAACGTTCCAGAAGAAGTTCTATAACGTTCCCAATGCCAGCAGAAAATATCAGCATGGGAATATTTTGCCTGTGCAGCTGTACTATGAAGTCTCCTACATAGTCCCTGAAATGAAAAAAATGCAAAATTACTTGCTGCATAAGACCTGTATAAAGTACAAATAGTGGAAGCTGAAAAAAACAAAGATAGGTAGATGCGATGTGAACCTATCGCAGGGGGTTATCTTGATGGTAAGACTCTTCCAACTGCGAACTTCAGGTTCGGTTCCGTCGAAGAAGAGAAGAAGTGGGAGGACATAGTGGAAGGAATAATTTATTCTGTACAGAAGGAGTAGAGAATTGGTAGGAGGAAGTTGACTGTTGGACCGCACGTCCAGCCGCGAGGGGGGCTTGCTCCGAAGTGCCTGAGCCTGGCAGCAGTCATCGCAGCAAGGTCCTTCCCGCGTCAACCTTTAAAGGTGATTGGCCAATTCAGGGAGGAAAACTAATCCATGCCTCTTAGTGGGCCGCGCAAAACAAGCGTTCACGCGGAGCATGCGGCTTTCGCGATTTTAAATCACGTGACTTTAGCGCGCGGCATGTGTGGGAGATCACTACAAGCCTATCAAACCTTACTTAGATTGCGTAGTGCCATGAGCACGGAATCCAACCTACCTTTTTAAATCACACTACTTAGTGCAGTTGAACGAACGGACAAGTCCGCGGACCTTCAGGGCCTCTGGTTGCTTAATGGAGACACTTCTTCCAGCGTTTTCGCTAAGGGTCTAACACTGTGACAGTGGGAGCAATAATAGCGGTGTTTCGCCGTCGAAATGCCAGTTACCGGGCTTATTTGCTCCATGAAGTGGTACATGAGTCAAATATCAGTTTCACGCAACCTGGTTG